CACGCACACGCACACGCACACGCACACCCACACCCACACCCACACCCACACCCACACCCACACCCACACCCACACCCACACCCACACCCACACCCACACCCACACCCACACCCACACCCACACACACACACACACACACACACACACACACACACGTGCCATATACCCCTGCACCCTAACCCCTAACCCCTAAACCCCTAACCCCTAAACCCGACCCCTAAACCCCTAACCCCTAAACCCCTAACCCCTAAACCCCAAACTCTAAACCCTAAACCCCTGAATCCTGACCTTGAAGGATCCCTTCATCTCGGTGTGTTCTAGGGTTCCGGCTGAGCTCGACAGCAGACAGCTTGCCGAAGTCAAAGCCCTAAGCTTGTTAACGGCTGCTTCTTGCTGGTTGTTTTTAGCCAAGGGTTAGGAAGTACGTGATAGACATCCAAATGCAAAGACAAGTGGACAATGATACGGAACCTGGGGGGTGTACAGGGATATTCGAGTTCAGGGTTAACCTGCTGGCCGTTCGCAGAGAATAGATATTAGTTACCTTTAGCCCTAAACCTTCAGCCCAAAACCTTAAAACCTAAAAACTGTGCAAGGCCTACTGCAGAGGCTCATGCCACTATTCCCTCCGAGCAAAGAGGAAGTCTTTGTCGTGTAGGTTGAGGCTGAAAAGGGTCCCAAATAAGAATACGGTTTAGGGTTTTTGGTTTAGGGTCCCGGGTTTAGGGTTTGGGGTATAGGGTTTAGCCTTTTAGGATGCGATAGATATAACAGAATCAGGATTTCAATGGGACAATATCTGCAGTCACTCAGGACTGTACATCAGCTCCAGATTGAGAACTCATTTTTGGGCGAGTGCTCGGGGATGTGCCGGTGCTCCATCTCTTTGTGGTATCTACCTCTTCGAAAAGAAATTTCATTGAACAACACCCAGCAATCCACTACACCCTAAACCCTAAACCCAGCCGGAGGAGAGTAAGGCTACTGCAGAGGCCTAGAGAATTGTCAACATCAATGTAAGGTCTATTTGGGGTACCCCATGCCATACTACGGTGGATACTAAACTACTGCATGACCCTAAGGGCCCATAATTTGAAATTATAGTACTATACTTCACTGTACTACGTGTACTATACCTTATTACCCTATGGTCATGCAAGCTTTTTAGTATGAACAGTTTACAATGAATCTAGGACAACCATACTGGCAAGGATTCAGGTCCCTACACTACAGCATTTGGGGCCCCATACAGTCAATCTTTCTCACCTCTGCAGCCTCGCACTCCCCTAGCAACTTGTTCGCAATGAAACTGCAGGTCTATTAACCCTAAGGGTCCAAGTACCAAATAATCATAGACATACTGAAAACCTGTACTAGAATTACTATTACCCAAACCCCAAGTATCTACCTCCCCCCTATCCCCCTAAGATTAAACATTCCCAATATGTTGTATTATACCACAATGAGAATGCATAATATTCAATAGGGGGATTAATATTAGGGGGAGAGGATTAAGAATGTGAATCAGCCGAGAACAAATTCTGGTAGTTGAAAACCATATGGGACTTGGCCTAAATTCCTATTCCCAAAATGGGGAAATCGATCTAGGAGCAGTATTGGACACCAACACAGGGACCCATATTAGAATGAATTCAGGGAAATCCTCATATATCTAGCCCAATGCCAATGCGGACAACTAGTTCCAACATCAAGTCTCCGGCTCAGGATATCTGGACGTAATCCTAGGACCAAAAACTCTAAACTGTTAAAGTCTAGTTGAAATCCATGACACTTACGACCATTGTATATCTGTACGTGTTCAACCCTTACGCCCCTGAGCGCCTTAATGGAGTCATACTTGGGAAATAAGTGAGTAGACTCTGAACTTAACATAAAAGATCCTAAGTATCTGTATAAGGAATACGGACCCCAACCATACTACTAACTTGTAGGACAGAAACCCGCCTTTTTACATATGAGCTATAGTCTAAACTCCTAGTATCCCCCTTAATATCCCCTATAGTCGTCCCATATATAATCCCCCCTTTAAGGAGTTTAGACCCTAAACCCTAATCCCTAAACCCTAAACCCTACATAACCCTTTATTACCGTATATAATCCCCTATATAAGGAGTTTAGACCATGGCTCACATAGATACTTGGGACCCTTTGGGAAAGGCAGCTGAGCAGTCGGCCGGCTTCTCCTGCAGAGGGCATGGGAGGTGGTTGTACAGGTTCAGGGTTTTAGGGTTTAGGGTTTAGGGTTCAGGGGTTCAGGGGTTCAAGGTTCAGGGGTTCCAGGGTGTACTACGATGGATGCTAAGATCCTGCATGACCCCAGGCACCCTGTACCTTGATCTATGGTTGCGTAGTACAATAAGGTCATGCTGCATGTTTAATTTCAAGAGCAACCTCAAGTTTTGGGAGAGGCGGGACAAGGATGTTTTTTTTGGAAGTGTGCGGTCCCTGTCGTTGAAGCTTAGAGGCTATAAGGATTCTGCAGGAGCTGCTTCTTTACGGTTCCAGGTGATCATACATCCATTCCTTCAGTAGTGCTGCCCTGGGAAGGGGGATCATGTATACCTTAGGAAAATGTGGCCAAAAGACATAATTGTCAAATTCATTGCATGCTAAACCCTAAACCCTAAACCCTAAAGCCTAAACCCTAAACCTGTCGGCATTTAGGACCTACATACTTCAGCTCCTCATCTTCACATGGCAGGCATCCCCACAATTTAGGCCTCAGGCATTGACAAACACCCCTCTGGCCTTACATTCATGGTTTCGGGGGCAGCGCTTGGATTCGGAACTACTACTACTACTACTACTACTACTACTACTACTAGTCAGGTCTGGCCTTACATCCATGGTTTTGGGGGCAGCGTTTGCGAATCACAACTGTTACAGGTCAGCACTACGATAAACTCAACTAAACTCTATCTCTTGCATGCTGAATGCTTTTGGGTTGCCTGATGCTTAGAGTGGTGTGTGTGTGTGTGATGCAAATCCAGACCCTTATCAAACCCGTTTGGGGATTAGGGAGGGCGCCATGAACGCTGGCAACTATTCTTGGGCTGTTCAGGAACTTCATTTCCGTTACTTTGCTGGCGAAACCATGTTAAATACTATACATATATATATATATATTCCCATTATGACAACTTTAGTCGAGCTCCTTAACAGCAACCCAGATTGTTTTGTATTTGCCGGATAGCCCGTCTCGCTTCGCGCAATGCCTTCGATGCGTCATAAAGATCCCAATGCTACAACAGTCAGTCGGCTGTGGCTGTGCCATAAAACCTGAACCTTAAACCTCAAATGTATGTAAAATAATAGCCCTAAACCCATAAGGATAGCCCTAAAGGCCATTATTCTACACACTTTCTGGGGCCCAGGTAAACCCTAAAAAGCCCGTTGCACTGCCTTCGAAAACATGCCTTGTCTATCCTCCGCACTCCCTCCTCTTGAGGATGATGAATTAGGATCCAAGTGAAACCCAGATCACTGTGAGGATCCAGAGTTTTGGGTTCAGGGTTTACCTGAACCCCCAAAGTATGTAGAATAATGGCCTTTTGGGCTATTTTAAAGGTTTTGGGCCATTATTCTACCTACTTTGGGGGTTTAGGTAGGGTAGAAAGTAGATCCTCGTCGGGAGTGTTTAGAAATGACCCAGTCGTAGGAGATGATGCTAAACTGTGGGCTCGACTTTGTAGATCCTGCCGTTGGTCTAGGAAACTGTATGTACTCTGGACTGGGAATCCATTGCCCATAAATCCGACCATCCTGAATGAGCTCCAAGCCAATCCTCCCTCCCCAATAAAATCCCCCAACGCCCTAATTATGAACACTCCCAATTCATCTTAATACCATAATAACATAATGAGGAAAACCTTATGGCTATAGGGGGTGGTAGGGAGGGAGCATTCCCGACCTAGTACGATTCCATAATAAGCTGAAAAATCATGAAGACTACCATTAGGGGGAAGGGGATTGCTTGGCTTGTGGAGATTGACAGGTGCAGGACCTGAAAACACAAGGGCGTCAAATTCTGAGGAGGATACCTCACATTCCTAACACAATCTTTTTGCGCAGAATTTCGTGCCAATCCATTACTATGGCAGCCTTAACAACTACCAATATCAACTTGACCTCTAAGATACCCTATATCCTGCAACAATTTAAACAAGGCATCTAAGACCCTCTGTTACATACCCCATTGCGGCCTGTTGTTACATACCTTTGCCACGAATGCTTGCACAGGCATGTCCCACAACATCGGAAAAGTGTTTGTCGCAAGCCCGGAGATTCTGTTACAAGAGCCTATGTCGCAAAATAGCCGCCCAAGTCTGTTGCAAGCCCCGCTTTTGATTCACAGCCAGAATGCCAATCTGCGATTTTCTTCTCCATCTGATTCTCTGCCATGGCAGCCAATATTCCTACAACTTGCCCCTAATAAGGCTTCTACCTAAACCCTTGACGCTTAACCCTAAATTACAGGATCTCTAGAAGCGGCCTTCCACATGTGACTCATCAGAGCGAGTTGCACGCAAGCTCGACCTGACAAAAGCCCTCAAAGGTAGATTCCAGGGTTTGGGGGTTAGGGTGTAGGGTCACAAGGCATATTTGCATGCGGGTCTTTTTCTGTGAGGACAAGCTATGGGGCTCCAACTAGCCTGAGGTGGCGCAAATGAGCACAAAGGCACTAGTTATGGCTTTTAAGCCCCAATGCAAAATGTTCGGTACGAATTTAGAGCCTCAGCAAAATTGTATCAATCCTTTCGACCATGGGCTTGTCGCCAGGGTGACATAAACTTGCGGGACCTTAAGCCTTGCAGCCTACTCAGCCTTGCAATCCCAAACCATAAACCCTGAATCCTGAATCCTACACCCCAAACCCTGAATTCTAAACCCTTAACCCTGAATCCTAAATCCTAAAGCCTAAACCCCGAACCTCAGCCTAAGGGCTTGAACCCAGCGATCCAGGTCTCAACCAGGACCCCCCTAGTACACTTCATTTGGGGCTATATGGCCCAAAAAAGTGGTGCTTTGGCCAAAAAGGAAGGTAGCTGGAGGGTCCAAACCACTCTATAATCCCAGTTTCGATTTAGTTTTCCATGTCTTTTCCAACTGCTTTGAAGCTTTCCCCATATATGAATATATGTGGGGAACCCGAAACCCTAAACATCGAACCCTGAACCTTATAAACCCTAAACCCCTAAACCCGAAACCATAAACCCCTAAACCCTAAACCCTCAACCGCGGGACTGAGTCAACCGACTCTGCTTCTCACCGAAGATAGCCACCATGTCGAAGCCGATTCGGATGTTCTCGACCTCCACCTTGCGTTTTAGGGTTTAGGGTTTGGGGTTTAGGGTTTAGGGTTTAGGAGGGTTTGGGTGTAGGGTTTAGGGTTAAGGGTTTAGGGCTCACAGTTCAGGATTTTGTAGGGGTTTAGGGTTTAGGATAGGAGTATGTAGGGGCTCTATAGCGGTTTAGGGTATAGGGTTGCTAAAAGGATTCTGCAGGGGTTGTATATGGGTTTAGGGTTTAGGGCTGCTCTAAGGAGAATGTAGGGGTTGTATAGGGGTGTAGAGTTTATGGCTGCCTTAATCGAGTACGTAGGGGTTGTATAGGGCTTTAGTGTTTAGCATTGCTCAGGATTATGTAGGGGTAGTATAGGCGCTATGATGGGGTTGTGCAGGCGTAGTACTTCCAATACGGAAAACTGGAAAAGAACATGGACAGTGAAATGGAAACCCTAGGTATCTCTAGTACAGTAAATAGGGATACATGGGGATGTATAACCCCAACAGTGGAAAATCAAATGGGAAAGAGCCTGAACATGTACACTGAGTTTATCTAAAGCTCTACACTGGAGGGCTTAGGTTATGTAACTTATTTCTTCTTCACGTGCAGATTCACAGAATAGGGGTCGTCCTTGGAAATCACGTGGTACAGTGGGTTTGCTTGAGATCAAAACTAATGAGCCCTCAGAAACGGCCCCCATAACCCCTTTGGAAACACCACCTATACCCCTACGGTTTCTGGAGGCACCCGAATGTGGGCAAAGCAAGTGAAGTATGAGCTTCACTTTCAATCATTTCCAGAGTACCTAGCGTCCAACTTAACGAGTCTCCAATGCGCAGCAAAAGCAGCAACAGTTGCGTTGCTCCAAAGTGCTCACCATCCGAACGCCATTTCAGGCCCCACAGGCCATAATGCCTGGAATAAGGGCAGATCGGCTGTGGGTCTTCAGCCTTGGATTTGTTTTCCATGATCCCATGCACTGACAGAGAAGCTGAACAAAGCCCCCTAGCGACCTCTGCCCGCTGCGCAGTGTGAATGCAGCTTAAGATATTACCATCTAGACCACATAATATACCCTAGGCTGGGCTCGGGTCAGGGTCTAGGTGAAGTGGTGCCAGGACTGTGGCCTTCCACGGATACCCCAGGAATGCACACAAAACCCCACACAACCTCTCCATACCCGTAGGCATGGAAAGACCTACGAAGAACCCGCGCAAACTATGTTGTTCAGTACTTGGAGGGTCAGGAGGACTTAGTAAGTAGGTTCATAACCCCTATAAGCCATATAGTGACCTCAGTTACCCCCATTATGAACCCACCCACTAAGTCCCCCTCATCCTCCATGTACTTTGACCCACAGTTTAGATCCTCCCAAGGTTCTGGCTCGCAAGGACTACTTGGCAACGCGAGCCCCATACATGAGGACCCCGTGCCTGTTTAAAGAGTCTCAAGTTAAGGTTGGGGTGCCCAACAGATCAGTACACAAAACTGTTGATCACAAAAACCTACCCTAAACCCTGAACCCTTAACCCTAAAACCATTTAAATTTTCCAAACCTCAGGATCCAAATGGCCTCAGTGCAACAAGTTCCTGATCTATGAGGAAGTGCGTAGCCTCCAAACTGCATGCAAACTGCCAATGCCTGAATGCAAGGGCCCTGTACTGAGTTGCTGTTGAGGAATTGAAATTAAGACACTTCAGTAAGGAAACCCTACTATTCACTATATACATATATATACACATATCATGGTAACTATTTCCTTAACAGCAACCAAGCTGAATGGTGTTAGTCTCGATCCTGCATCACCCAACCCACAGCCTGACCCTCCGAAGGCAAATCGCCTAGATCTGGCAGGCGTTCCATTTGTCCCCCGCATAACCCGAAACGGACCCATGAAAAATGGTAACTGTGAATTTAGACTGTAAACTATAGCCTGTTTGAAGAGACCACCAAGCTGAACCCTGAAGCCTGAAGTCAGGACCCTGCAAACCTTCTGCCCCAGAATCATGATCCTAGACCCGGAATCTTGAACGTAACTTTTCAACTTTTAATCCTAAAAGCCTGAATCCAGAAACCAACGTTTCAAACCCTATGCCCTAAACCCCAAGGTCTAGACCATCAGCCCTTCAGCATCGAACCCTGACATTCCAGCCCTGAACCCTAAACTCAAAACTCTCAACCCTAAACTTCCTTGGGGGTAGTAGGGAAGAAGGAAAAGTATTTACAGGGACTATATGGGAATTGTGTTCCCTGAATCCCTGCTCGCCACCAGAAGGTAAACCCTGAAAACAGCGCCTCCTTCTGCAGGTTCGAATCCACGGGCAGCACCCAAACCCGGCGCGAAACTGAAAGCGACGCGGTTTGCGGTTTACCCTAAACCCTAAACCGTTTGGGAAAGGGTTGAGTCCTAGAGATTCCTAGAGTATAGAGGGTGGACATAAAGTCCCTAAACCCCAAACTCTAAACCGCTTAGGGATCCAGGGCTGAGGGTTGCGGGATTAGAGTTTGGGAGTCAGAAGCATTTCTTATTTTTGCTTTACGATGCGCAATCCTCTGTAAGCAGATAGACAGCACAGGACACACGGAACAAAACAAATGGAGAATTGAAAAATCCTCAACATGATTTTGCAAGACGTTTTGTAACGGCTTAAGATTCTGTACTGAAGTGTCTTCGTCTTCAAAGATCGACATGCTCTTTGTTTGCCTAGGATCCTGAATTCCCCCCCCCCCTCCCTAGTCGACCACGCACCCCCGTGCATGGATCCAAGCAAGCCCGGTTAAATTTAGGCGGAATAATTGCGGAATTTCAGGCTTTGGGGACAGCAATACAAATTATGGGGAGAGAGACCGTCTTGGGCAACAATTGCATCGAGCAATGCCAACCCTCGTGTTCAGGACTTTGAAAGAGTCATACGAGTCATAGGCTTCTCATTCTTCTCATTTTCTCCGTGAACCCAAACTCCGAAACCTTGAACCGCAATGCCGCAAGACCTGACAATCCAAAGCCTGAAGCTCCAAGACTAAATGCTAATCCTTAAACCATTCTACCCCAGACAACAGGCCCAATCCCCCAAACCCTAATCCCCAAACTTTTACAAGTCTAATACCCTCAGCAGCCAGTATACCCCCTAGTCAATGGATAAAGCCCATAAAACTGTTTGCTAATGGTAACCCCTACACCCAAGCCCCAAACCCTGAGCCCTAATATCCTCGCCCTAAACTTTGAATCCTAAACCCGAAGCCCCGATCCGTAGATTTTGAATCCTTAACCCCAAACCCTAAACCCTGGGAGCCCCAGGGATTGTCAGAGCTTTGCAGAATCAAAACCCTAAGCTTTGAATCCTGAACCCTACACCCTAAACTCCGGCCCCTGCCTTCGCTCGGCTCCTTCTTGACGATGGCAGGCGTCCAGTTGCCTCTGTCGTCTTTCACCTCATAGCATGGATCTGTGGGTATGAAGCAATCCCCTCCCCCTGATGTTAACTCCCCCACCCTCCTAACATTCAATGTTCCCATTTGTGGTATACCATAATATATTCGGAATGTTTCAATCTTCGGCAGGAATATTGCCAAGAGGGAGGGGATTGCTTTGAGTTGGGGGTTTGAGCTGTAGGGATGCTATCCTAAACCCTATAAACCCTAAACCCTATAGGCCCTACACCCTGAAGTACGGAAGTAAGGGATAGAGACCCCTAGATAGATGAGTAGACTTGAAAGTCCCACAAGCATTTGTACTGCAATTCAGAAGGCGTGTAGCCGTACTCATGTCTACATTATAACCCCGCATCTCCGAAGCACTGGCCACCTGCCTACATACATACATACATACATACATACATACATGCATGCATGCATGCATGCATGCATGCATACGCAACGGGTCCATGTAATTACATAGTCTGCTGAGGGCCCCACAGGGCGGCCCAAGTATATACCATCTACCTACTTGGACCCTTTGGGATACATGCCCTGAACGCTAAATCTCCGTACCTACATACATACTTTGGGTCATTCCCACTCACAGTAACTGTTTTTGAGAGATTTTCTATTCAGTGGCTATTACAACTCCTTGTACCTTATGTTTGATAACTGTTGCTGCAAGAGGGTATCACCAACAACCTGGCAACATTCCTTGTAGGCCCCCTTAAAACCTCGGTTTCAATCTCACTCTCCGTGGTCTTTTCCGTTTGGTTCCCTCTCTCATTGGGGAAATACCCCAAAAACCATATGCATCCCCTGAAAAAAGCTCATTTTTTTGCAGAATTTCGGGCCCACAGCTAGGGAAACAGGACCTACACAACACCCCTGTAACCCCCTAAGCCCTAAACCCCTAAAACCTTTACCCCTAAACCCTAAACCGCTGTATAATCTTCGTCCTGACCACTATGGGCTATTAGACCCTAAAATTCCCTATTAGGACCCCAATAAGAGTAGAATAGGGTACCCTTAAGGTCTAATAGCCCATAAACCCTAAACCCTAAACCCTATAGCCCACCCTGGGAGGTGCCAACCTCGACAATTCTTCCTTCGCCAAAAACCACCGCCGGCTCCTCGACGAAGGCTCGAGCTGGAACGGCGAGCACCTGACACCACGAGATTAGTACAGGCTTTGGGCAAGTATATGATTATTGAGCACTTGGACCCTAAGGGGTTGATTTTGGCAATCATCCCAACCTAAAAAAAAGAGCCCCAAAGCCACCAAGATCTTAGCCCAAACGGTCCGTGCGCGATATACTTGGACCTCAAAGTATAATTACGGGAACCCTTTGGGCGCTAAGTATATACCATGTAGCTACATGGACCCTTTGGATTAGGGTACTGGTTTCACGGTATACTTATAAACCTCCTCAACACCCGTAGTAATTTGCTCGTGAGGGCCATCATCATGAGTAGTTGGGAGGCATGCTAGGGTCCAGGTGTTGGGTTGAGGGCTGGGTTGTTGTTTTAATGTTGCGGGGTTAGGATGTAATCGGCCAAGGGTCTTGCGAGATTGCAACATGGCTCAAGAAACAACTCTTTCAAGGACCTGGTACTGTCTAGGTCAGGATTCTGGCGAAATTCTTGGCATTCAAGATTCTCAAAAACAGGCGACCTATCCCAAACTACCATGTGTCGCACAATCAAAGGTAGGCTGGTTCGAGATGGTTCGAGGGCTGCCTCAAATTCCGCAAGCACTAGATGAGAGAAAGCAACTTGCAGAAGCATCTTACATGCGCAAGCCGTATGCCGCAGATGGTCTGCTTCGATGCTCCACAATGTCTTGTTGCCAACTTTCCTTACCTCTACACCCTAGGGCTCCCAGCTGCCTAAATAATGGGAACTGGGCTCTATATACCCTATAGTTACATAACCCAGTATAGCCTATAGTATTTAGGAAGCCGGGAGCCCTAAACCCTAAACTCTAGGAATCCCTATATATCCCTGCATATCCCTATATTATATCTCCTGGAAAAGGGACCAAATTATTGAGTACTTGGAGCCCTAGGGGCAAGTCTAATCTCCTTCTCCCCCTCGTCCAGACTCGACATCTCAAACTGCAGCATGGATTCGCCCAGCGCTGAAACTCAAATGATCACCCTGTAAAGCTGCTTAGGGTTTAGGGTCTAGGGTTTAGGGTTTAGGGTTCAGGGCTTAGGGTATTTAGGGTTTTGGGGTGTGGGGTTTAGGGTCTTTCACAAGTAGTCATAAAGTTCCATATGCATTCCGCTTCGATTTCCATTCCACTTCAATTCTGAGTGCTGCTTGAGCTGTTCTTTTGCGGGATAGTGCAAGCACATTTGATTCTGCAGATTTCTGGTGATATTGCCATGTTTCCTAAAAGGACCAAAGAATTTGCCCGAATGCAATTGCAAATTATGCCGGGGAAAAGCTCCTTTGTGAGTACTTTATAATTGAATATTGAAATTATTCTATTCGAAGGAAGGTTCACAGCTTGCAATCATCTACTTTTTTCCCCCACTGCTGCAGCTTGCTGCTTTGTTCAGGCAAGGCGACGCTTCTTCTGCCTTGCATTAAGACAGCTACGCACCCACGTGGTAACAATATGCATTGCCTGTGCCATAGACCTCCGCTTTGCGGGCAGAAGACTGCAGGAATCGATTTTCGGGTCGTAAATCTCAGGCCGCAGCTCTGCATTGTAACTGGCAGCGCAACTGCACCTGAGTTAATTCGAAATTGTTTGTTGAAACTAAAAAATAAACTGTCAGCCACATGAGAAGGTCACAAATTCTCCACCTGGGCACTTGTTGTCAAACGTATCCCCCTTGAGCATCCTCACTTGAAAGTGCGGGAGGATGCCGCCGCGATGCTGGACGTGGGAAAAAACGATCTCATCCATTGGCAGATTGAACATATCCAGCAGCCACTGCGGCGTTGTCGATGTTGAGCTCAGCATCTTTCTGGATTTGGCACTCTGCTTCGGATCGCCTTCCATCTGATTGTTGTCCTTCTGGCCCGGCATGGAGTCCTGCTTCTCTTGGTTCGTCTTCTTTGTCTCACCATCCTTGTTCCTGTCGCGTGCTTGCCGCCCCGACTGCACATGGTACCTGCAGTCCTGCGCAAAACTGTAGATTTTTTTGCATCGCACATGTAAAAGATACGGAAAATGATTTACTCTCATTGATTCAAGGCTCTACTTCAGCATTTTGTTTTCCCTTAGGTCCCCCAAACCCTGACTGTTCATTTCAGTACTGATGAATTTCTGCCCCTCTTAATTGTAATTATCCGGCATTAGCTGATGGTCTTTGGGTTTTGTCACTGTTTGACTGTCTGTATGAGAATGTTGTACTTGAATGACACAGGAACACAATGTTGCCAGTTATGTCCTCCTCTTCAGCATCAATGTCAGCTAGGAGCTCACAAGCAGCCTGCACACTTGGATCTGCTGCTTGATGTTGGTCCGGCACCTGCGTGAACTGGTTTAACGGGAGCAGGGCAAGCAAGTGAGATGCAGCATTCAATAACAAGAACAAGGACCATTATATTTTAATCTGTTTCTCAAATACTTAACTAACATATTTTTTGATGGGTTAATTTTATCAATCTCAAATTTGAATCAATTCCAGCCTGGTTTTCATCATCATCTTCCTCTTCTGGATTCTCGGGATCGTGTTCAGCTTTGGATTGGCGAGTGCTATCCATTTTTTGCAGCTTCTTCTCCAGAGCTTCCTTGCAAGGAGCATCCAAACGATCTGCAAAAAACGGAATTCGCAGTAGAGCTCGAATCTTTGCTGTTTTCGTTGACAATGGCCGCAGAGCCACTCCATTGTGCTTCAAGAACTGTGTCAGGGCATTGGCGCACACAGCCAAGATTCTGTGGGTAGCCAATAGGTGCAGCAGGATGGATTGCCCTTCTTGACTTCTTCGAAGAATCAAGGAGCTTCCCAGGCCCAACTTCGTTGCCAACTTTCCCGATGACCAGTGAAGTGTGAATTTGTGAACCACAACCTCGTTCAACAATTATACTTACGCACATAGAGCTTTTGCCCAACAAACCATTCACCGAGCATCATCATCCAAGCGGGGCAGGAGGTGCACAAGAACGGGTCTCCTGTGTGCAAATACGGTAATACGGGGAGGCAGTTACCACAAAGAATAAACGCTTTTGGTTTTCAGCTATGTTCACGAAAACAAAATCTGTCCTTGCATCAGTTGAAAAGGTCAGGCACTGTGAACTGCTTTGCTCATCCAAAACATCCTCTACCGGAATACGGGGATCAGCAATTGCCACGCAGCTCTCATCCACGACCGCATCTGGCAGCGGGCCCACAAATTTCAGGGCCAGCTCTCTGAGTTCCAGAGCCTAAAACACAGCATTGTTTTTCTCTTATTTTACGGATTCCAAGTAGACATGCAAAAGTTTGAGATGCAGTCATGCCACATAGCACAAGCCACGATTGGTCCCTGTGACCAAGTACCATTTCTTGGCCACTTCCACGAGCATCCCTCGCTGCAGCACTGAGGGCACCCACATCCGTGACCACGTTTCTGCGAAATCCAACCCCATCCTTGCAAGCATTTAAACATGGAATCAGTCTCGGATTCGTTCTCGAGAAGACCTGTGTAAATTAAAATCAAGATACTGTTTCCCCAGGATGAGGCCCCGCATGATGTTCAGCTCGTGCTTGTTGTGCATGTATGGCGAGGTGCTTTTGTATTTCTTCAAGATCTGGTCCACAATGACCTTTCCATCTGCCAAACCTGGGTTGCAAAAATAAAAGAAATGTCTTTCCTCGAACACCTCCATGCTTGGAGCAACGGATTTTTGCAATTGTAAAAGACAAAGTCCAGAGCTATGTTATACTTGCTTTTAATCTCGTTCTCCAGAACACAGGCAGGACCAGCCAAATTTCAAACTAATGCCACAACAGGTACAGTGACTAGGAACACTAAGCAGACATGGTAAGGTGAAACTCCCATTTATTTTACACACGACAGGCGCTGGACTACACATGCAAAGAACAATCTACATGGTTGTTATGAATCGATGATCATTATGGGCTAAGCTTCCTAATAATAAGTTATGATTCAAGTGTTCTTTTACTATGCAAAAGACAAAGCCTATTAAAACATCTACCTGTTCCTTCCAGTAGCTGCTTGGGCAACTTGCCGGGCTCCAACAGGACCTTTTTATTCCCCGCACAGTGGCCCCCTCGTAGTCGGCAGCTTCAAGATGAACGCCTGCTGCTTGCTGCGGGCCATCACACTTGGAGCTGAGTCCTCTTATCGTGACAGCCTGCAGGTTTGCCAGGCTTCCACAGTCCCGCTTAGAGGATCGCGATACCGAGTCAGCCATGTTGCTGAACAGGCCCTCGATGTTGCATGATCCATTCACACTTGGGAACCATGCCTGCACCACATCTTTTGCAGCACCCTGACATTTCCAACCTGAGGACTCAAGGCCTGTGAGGATCTCCCTGTATGCCTGAGTCAAGGTGTAAGGACAGTGCTCCATCAGCTTGCGGGCGGAGTCCTTGGCCTGCTCACACTCCAGCACCACCGACCACTCACATTGCAGCGCTTTGAGAACTTCAGCTTCGACTTCCTTGTTCTCGGGCCTCCCGATGGAAGTAGACAAGAGACAGGCTGCAGACTGCGGCGCCATCTGTAGGGAAATGCTGTACTCTGTCAGCTCATGTAGACAGGAAAGCATGCAGTCCACATGTTCCCAGAGCAGGGTGTTCTCGCGATCACTGAGTCGCCAAGAGATGCTGAGTGCCTTGGAAGATTTGACTGACAAACTGAAGTTTTGACTAGGCTCATCTTCCTAACTTTTACTCTA